ATGGGGAAATCCATAAAGACAGAAAGATTAGCGGTTTCTAGCGCTAAACTAGGTCTGGGTAATGGTGATTGACTGCTAATGTGTATTTATTATTCTTATTATTATTTTATTTTTAATGTGTGAGTTTGCAGGGGGAAGGCCAAGATGATGTTCTGCCATTGATAGCCATGGGAGTTACACAACAAAGTGGATAAACTAAAACCTAAATTGTATAATTTAAAGGCTAAATTTGATGTTATGTGATTACACCTCAATAAAGCTGCTACTAAGAAGATCGAGATCCAACTCAATTCCAGAAACTCCTCTACTAGATTTCTAAATAATCAATCAGTCTCTGCTTGAACACTTATAACAACATGCTCACTCCCACATAGGGATAGACAGCTCCATTTTTATAGCTATTTTGGGTTTTATTTTCCATAACCATTCATTTTCCCAGCATCTACCATAGTGCCTGACATGTCAGAAGGTTTCCCATATGTGATAAAATACTGGATCAACATTTCATAGTGAAAAATTTTAAGTGAAAAAAGCACATAACAGAACAGTATATTATGAAACAGAATTTTTAGCATAATATCACAATGGAACTAAAATATGTACCTATTAAAATACATCTAATATTTACATAAAGAATATGTATCATAAATACTCTTTCATATGCATGAAATATTTATGGATTTTTAAAAATATTTAAGGAGTTACTTCTGGAGAATCTTGGGAAAAGGAGAGTTGGGAGGGAACATTTATTTTTCAATTTATAACCTTTAATATTGATTTAATGAGTTTTTTTCCCATAAGAAGCTAATTTTGGAAAAAGCTGCATTCCCCATTTGGGTGAAAATCTCTGCTGTTCTAACTTACTATGTTATTTGATTCCTTACCAGTGAAGACTCCCTAAGGAAAAACTCACTATGTCTTGTGGTTGATCCTATACGCCAATGCTCTCAAAGGGCTATTGGAATAGGCATCTGGGGCTCCACTAACAGCACTCTGACCACAAGTGTCACTGAACGCCAAAAAGGCTCTCTTCTCCCCAGCATCATAACCTGTGTACTTGACTAACTCCGTATCTTCTCACGTGGCTTTCATGATCAAGGGACTCTTGGCCAAAGAAAACAAAGCAAAACTGCCTCATTCCCCAGTGGATCTGGATGAGCACCGGTAATAAAATCAGGTAGAAATCCAACAGGAGACATTAGAGAAGAATCAATTGGTCTATAAGGAATTACAGATGACATGGCTCACAAACATATGCTGTATCATGGTCACTACCATCTACTCATACCAAGTTAAAAATGTCACCACTTTGTACCGTTGGATGTTTCATATTGGAAATATGATTTTCCTCTTTGTGTCTGCCCCTGCAGTATTATGTTGGTTGAGTAACAAATATGTGAAACCCTGGGAAGCACCTTTCTTTCCTCACTTGAGCCCTGAGCAAAGGAGTCAGAGACTTGGTCAGACAAAGCACTCCAAGTTCTGTCTTGATGCCTTGCACCCAGGTCAGTTTAAAGCTGCAGTTCAAGGGCCATAAGTTAGTGGACTCTGTAACCTGGTAAACCGCACAACACATCCCCTATGTCTCCTCTATGCCAAGCTCCATACTAGACACAAGGTCTGCCCACAAGAACTTCTGAACATACTGTAGAGTCTTTCCAACTGCAAAGTCTTAGGTCCTTGATCTTTTAAATTTATTGAGATTTGTTTTGTAGTAACATACGGTCTACTCTAGAGGATATTCCATGTAAATATTCTGTGTTGTTTGGGGTAGATATCTATTAGGCCTAATTGGTTTATGGTTAAAGCCTTGTGTCTCCTTATTGCTTTATGTCTATTTACTCCATCCATTACTGAAAGTGAATTATTATAATAGCCAATTATTGTTCATGAATTTTCTCATTCTTCCTTCAATTATGTACGTTTTTTCTACACCTACTTTGGAGCCACATTGTTAAGTGCATATATATTTGTAATTGTTGTCTTTCTGATAAATTGATTATTTTATCATTATAAAATTTTCTTTGTTGTCCTTAGTTACAATTTTGTTCTTTCTATGTAATATTAGTGTAACTACTTCATTTCTCTTTGGTTATGGTTAGTATGGTATATATTTTCTCATATTTTACTTCTTAACCTATTTGTCTTTGAATCTAAAGTATGTGTTTTACACATAGTATGTAGTTGGATTGCTTAAAAAGATTTTTTAGTGGAATCACTTTTAAACACTAGAGTATTTAATTCCTTTATACCTAATTACTGCTAAGTTAGGTTTTATATCTGCCGTTTTCTACTTGTTTCTTATGTATCTCACATCATTTTTATTTTTCTATTCCTCTGTTATTGTCTGCTTTTGTGTTAAATAGATATTTTCTAGGGTACTATTTTAATTTTCTTGCCATTTCTCTTACTGCATTTCTTTCCGTTATTTTCTTAATGCCTTTCTTGGGGCGTATAATTAGAGTCTTAATTTATAATGATGGCCGGCGCCGCGACTCTACAGGCTAATCCTCCGCCTTGCGGTGCTGGCACACCGGGTTCTGTCCCGGTTGCCCCTCTTCCAGGCCAGCTCTCTGCTGTGGCTACGGAGTGCAGTGGAGGATGGCCCAAGTGCTTGGGCTCTGCACCCCATGGGAGACCAGGAGAAGTACCTGGCTCCTGCCATTGGATCAGTGCGGTGCGCTGGCCGCGGCGGCCATTGGAGGGTAAACCAACGGCAAAAGGAAGACCTTTCTCTCTGTCTCTCTCACTGTCCACTCTGCCTGTCAAAAAAAAAAAAATTTATAATGATATTAGGTGTTTCTTGGCCTCCAAAATTCAAGACTCGAGAGGCAGCAGTTATTCTGGCACTAAAAGTCAGTGTCAGACTTCATAGCTAGCTGGTCACAGACTCGACATTTTAGAAATGGAAGGTAGCTGGTTCAATTTAACTCTATAAATGGAGCAACCAGGAGGACTTATTCAAGTGACTTGTTCAAGGACCCGTTACTGGGTCATGGAAGGACCAGTTTTCCTCAAATCCTAGTCCAGTTTTTATTGTGCTTCCCTCAGTCCTGTGGCTTCCAGCTTCCTCTGGTTACTTGCATCACGTGCAGTCTCGCTGCTTACTCCCTCTCTATGACGCCCATCACTTAAGGTAGACAGTGATTCTGAACACCCTCTTCAATAAGGCCTCCATGGTTTACATTGACAGCATCTAGGAATTCTTTTCTTCATTCCTCTTTAGGATTTCAGTGGTTTTTTGACAACTAGGGTGAGGGTACAGGGCTGGTGAAGCAGTGGAGCAGCCAATGGCTGGGAGCAGAATTAATCTGTGGCTGAATTTGCACAGCAGCACAAGGCGGCAGTAAGTCTGACACTTCTTTGGCACCCTTGCTCTAGTCCCTTAAAATCCAACTTTCCCAAAGCCCGGTCCCATGATGCCTTACCACGGGCTCACGGCTGTTTCATTTCAAAGGTTAATTCAAGGCTGCCTTCTGGATCTGCTCCAGAGCTTTCAAACTCCCAGGGTGTCCCAGAATGGCCTCTTTCCTGCCCACTCACATGCAGCAAGGATCCCAAACTCCCTCCCTGGTGTAGAAGGCAAAGACAGTGTGAGGCTTGTGGGATGCCTGATCCTTGTAGAAGGAAGGACTGAGGGAGAGGGTGAAGGAGTAGGGGAGAAGGAAATATTGAAATAGAAACAAAGAATTTGTTATCTGATTATTCATTATCTGATTGTCCAGGTTCCCAGAATTAGCTACTGCCTAGAAAAGCAAAACCTGTTATTTAATTAGCCTCTCCTAAGCCACCTCTCTCTGATCAACACTAGCAAGTGGTTCCTACTCTGTTTTATAAGTCACTTATAATTATGAATACAATACTGCAATGCAAATCTGCTACAAACTGAAACTGAAAACAATACAAACTATACTGGATTTAATGGAAAACATTAAAGGCTTGTTAGAGAACAGAACTGCAGGATCCTGGTAAAGCAGGATCAACTCAATAGGAGATGGCAAATGAGAACAATTTGAGTATCAAAGAACTAAGAGTCCTTTTCATTTAAAAGTTAAGTTTTGATATATTTTTGCAAAATTGAGGCCTTTTAAAAAAGACAGTACTGAAAAGTCAAATGTAAAACAAAGGATGTCTCACTGTGCTACTATATAATTCTGTCAATAACATTCAGCCAAAAGATCAACACTTCTTTTATTGTATGTTTATTCTAAGACTTCATGCATAGCTGCAATTAAAATCTAAGTATTCTTAACTAAACAGTGAAGTAAACTGAAAGTAGATTTCTGTAAAAAAAAATTAAGAGTAGGGATGGGAGAGGGAAGAGAAAGAATGGTTGGAGTGTGGGTGGGAGGGAGGGAAGTATTACCATGTTCCTAACTCTGTATATATGAAATACATGCAATTTGTATAACTTAAATAAAATTTTTAAAAAAGAATTCCATGGTACTTTAAAAGTTCCTGATTTTTAAAAAAAGGTTAAAATAAACCTTTTTTTTGCAATTTCTTGTTTCATTTTAAAGATAAGCCTCCAATCAAACTTTCTTTACCATGAAATTGTACAGCCCTGCTTCAAGTGTCCTCTAACAACAATTATCCTCAGGTAATGAAAACCTCGCAAAGGTTTCACAGTCCTAGGTGTAACTCCCACTTCTCTGAATAATGCAAGTGCCACCATGGTCACATGCTGAGCACACAAATAATAGTAACACAGTTAACATTACTGAACCCTTTCTAGGTACCAGACATTGTTCCAAATGTTACATGAGCATTTATTCTTCACACTAACACTCCAGGATAGAGTGCCATTACTATCCTTCCTTGTGGAGGAAATTGAGGCATGGAGAAATTAGGTAACTTACCCAGTGCCACCAGCTAATAAGTAATGGATGGCACATGGTGGCAGCTACACAATCTATTCTATATTTCCATGCCTGTACCACATGCATTTGGACTTGACTTCCTAAGGGAAAGAACACTGTCTCTCTTTAAGTGCAACTCACCTGGCCGTGTTTAGGTTCCGATAGAGCTGCCCGAGGGACTCCAGCAGCCTCCCCTCCATCTCCCGGTCCCTGAGTTGCTGAGCCAGAGCTAGCCAGTGTTCATGGTAGGTGATGCATGCCACAGGATCTGGGGACACAGAGCTGTAGAAATGGCAGAGGGATTTGGTGACCTGAAGCTGACCTGAACATAAAGCAGGGACACAAATGAGATGACTGGAGATAGGACACAGGCAAAGCAGGCTCCAACACTTCTCCAGTAGCATGGGACATACTCACTCTTTAGATGTCGATGCCTTAAGCCAAACAGCAATGCCATTTCATAACAAAGGCGGCCCTGGGTCAGCTGGCATCCAGACACCAGAACTTGGGCCAACCAGAGAAGGACCTGTACTAATTCCATGTCCGTCTCCTTGCAGGCCTGGAGTTCAGAATAGAGTCGGACAGCCTCCAGGAGATAGTCCCTCGCTGGCTGCTGAGCCCAAGAAATAAGGGTCAGGTGACCAAGATTGGCCATGGTCACTGCTTGGTTTCGCACATCCCCTGTCTCCTGGGCTTTGTTCAAGGCCCGGAGATAGCTCTTGGCTGCCCTGTTCACTCGGCCTTCACCTTGAAGCACAAGACCTAAGAGATTATGGACTACTCCCCTTTGGGTGACACTCTCTTTCTCCTTCAGGGAGCATAACAGTGGCTCGAGGAGGTCCAAAGCCTTCTTGGTCTGGCTGGCTAAGAGATAGGCCCACGCAAGGCAGAGGGAAGACTCAAAGGCTGCTTGCTCACTCAGCAGCTGCCCTAGCACCAAGGCCTGGCTCAGGTAGTGGATGGCACCCTCAGGAGACCTGTGCTGGAGGTAGACTTTGGACAGGATGAGACACAGGGCCCTCTGGGTGCTCCAGTCTGCCTGTTCCTCACAGGCAGCCAGAGCCTGCCTGAGTGTTGGGCAGGCCAGGGCGGAAACTTCACCCAAGCTGGCGGAGGAAACGCTGAGGAGCTTGGTGGCATTCTGGAGAACCAAGTAGACCTGCCAAGTAGGAAGAGTCATCCCCTGGGCACTCGGCGTTCCACGCTGCCTCACAGAGGCCACCGCAAGGTGTGGAAGATATTTCTTGTCATACAAAAAACTCAAGATGGCAGCCAGAGCATCCGAGACGGGAGGCTGTCCGGTGAGGAGCTGCAGGCGTTCAGCAAAGGGCAGGACCTCCTCATGCCGGCCCAGGCTCAGCAACATTCGGATGGCCAGGAAGCAAGCCCTGGCCTCCAGAGGACTGCTGTCTGTCACGATGCCCTGGCGCAGCACGTAGGCCACCACGTCGAGCTCATTCTTGGCGCTGGATTCATGGTCAGGCAAGCAGGCCAGCAGGGCACCTGCCTTGTCCAGCAAGGTCGAGCCTTTATTTCTTGGCCTCTGCCTTAGGTAGATGGCAGCCAAGTTGATGTACAGAGCTGCCACCAAAGACAGGTCATCAAATGCCCCGTCGAGAATGTAGATGGCCTCCTCAAAGTACACCCTGGCCTGGGAGAGTTTGACCTTCCTGATGCTCAGCCGGCCCAGGAGGAAGCAGAGCCGGGCATGGGCCCAGGTCATGTGGCTCCTCTTGGCCCACTTCCTCGAGGCCTCCAGGTAAGCCACAAGCTCATCCTCCTCAGAGAAGCTGTAAAAGGAAGAAGTGAGGAAAGAGAAGGAGGAATCATAGAGGCTCTTGAGGTGGTCAGTGTAACCTTCATGATCTAGAAAAGTCAGCAGGGGGGCAAAGTTCTCAGCTTCCTCCTCCTCCTGACCAGTGTCTAGGTCCATGAACAGTTCTGGGTCATTAAGGCCATCAGGCTCCGGCAGGTGGTAGCTGTCCGAGGCGGCAGAGAGGAGCTCTTCCTCCAGGCTGGAGTCCTCAGAGCTGCTGGACTGTCTGGATCCCATGGTCTGCTGCTGTTCCCAAGTCCTGCCCGGACTGGCCTCCCTGCAGCCTTCGGGCTGGGACACTGTAAGGACAGGCAGAGCTGAGTAACTCTGAATAGCTGCAACTAAGGGAGCCAGCTCCTGGCAGGAGGGCAGGCGTGCTGGCCTGAAGGGTGGGGGGTCAGGGTCAGCATGATTTCTACTCACCGCTCAGATCATTTGGAAGGTTCTGGATGGATTCAAACCCACCTGAGTAGAAACGAAAGACAGACCTGGTTTTAGGTCAGAAAGGGCCACTATGCCCATATCAGACCAGCAGCTACTTAGGAGACCTAGTGACAAACCTTCAAAGACAGACAGGACATCCTTATCTCATTGTATTCACTTATTTTTTTTTCAGATGGAAACTGAGGTAGAAATGAGACCCAGGGTCAGAGAAGAAAAGCTCGAAGAGATGTAGGTGTAAATTCTGAGGTCAGAGGGATGCATTGTCCACACCTCTAAGTGAGTTTACAACCAAGCCAGCACAGAGTTCCTGAGTACCAGGTACTTGGTGGTGTATGGCACTGCCTTCCTTTTCATGTACACCTCATCCTTCCTTCTTCCATTCACTGCACTGACATTGGCATGTATGATGTGCTAGACATGGTGCTTTGAAAAGCAGCAGAACCAAGGGCAAAAAGGAATGACAAAGAAAAGAGAACAAAGATGCATCTGAGGATCCCAGTTTTGTGCCCTGAAGTAATTCAGTGGGATGGGGTGAAAGAATGGAGAGTCTGGACTACAATGTTAGATGCACTGGGCTTGAGGGCCTTGCAGAAACTCTAGGCAGAGAATGAAGCAGGTCTGGAGCCACAGAGAAAAGTTGAGACTGTGCAAATACAGATTTGTGACCCACAGCAGGTCACAGGGAGCTGGTCAAAATCCCAGAACTGGACGTGACCACACCGCTGAAGCATTTGGAAGAAAAGTAAAGCAACAGGGGAGGTAGGCAGCGGGGAGTTGCTAATGAACCTGAGGAACAGCAACATTCCTTGACAGACAGGAGCTGATGAAAAACTGAAAAAGCACCATTGGAGAGAAAGGGGCCTGGGAGATGCCTTGGGTTTGGCAGTGAGGAAGTGAATCCTCTTGGCTAAAGCAGCCTCAGTAGGACCATGGAAGTGAAAGCCAGATTCACACTCCCCAGGACAAGGGCTGGCAGGGAGAACAGTCCACCTCTTCACGGCACAGAAGCTGCAACAGTCTGTGCCCTCACTCTGAGGTCCTTGGTGAGTTCTGAGGACTAGCAGGCCCTCAAAGCCTCTCTGTGCTATTCTGTGGGGCAGGACCTCTTCATGACTGTCACAGCAGACACTCAGGATCAGCAAGCCCCAGCACACAGAAAGCCCTGCAGCCAAAGACAAGAGAGCTGAGGAGCCTGGCTCTAGAGAGGTTTTTATGCACTTGGCCCTTTCTAACATTGAGGGCCATATGCCTGTCTTACTGTAGCCATTTCCTTCCAGGTCAGGACACCAAACACAATTGGTACAAAAATTACACAATGGGTTCCCTCCAGGGGGAAGAGTCAGAGAGAAGTGCTCCTTCCCAGAGTATAGGCTTGGGGGGAGGAGGGGCTGGAACTGCCAGTCTGTTTTTCCTCCAGCTGGTAACCTTGGTGGCCTGCACAACCATAAGTCACACCTGGCAATTGGATAGCAAAGTGCTGCCTGGAGCCTACGCTTAGATCTCCCAACCATCACATCAACTAACTGACTTGGGCTTCAGTTTCCCAATCCTTAGAATGGGAGGAGGGAGAAATCTTCTCTTACGATCCTCCCAGTTCTAACAGTCCACAGGCCCATCTTTGGGGGCCTACTTCAGCCCTAAAAGGAGGAACCTCAGCCATGACTCAGGAATTTCTTCTTCCGCACGACTAGGATGAAAGGCTCTATACAGCTGATCATCCATGAAATAGGTGAGCTGTTCCAACAGATCTCATGCTTTCCACGCAACAGAACCAGGGCCACCCCAGAATTATCTGAAAGCTAAAGTGCAAAGCTGCTCCAAGGGCTCAATTGATTCATAGTCCTGGCCCTCTAGTCATGTATGGAATCAGAGTTTGGGAATTCTATTCCTGCTTAGGGACACACTCTTAATCATGAGGTGCCTGGGCTTTCAAAGAGGATCCGCACTCACTGAGCCGGTAGACAGATGTGATGTCCGTATGAGCAAGCGTGTGAAGGAAACTGGCACACTCAGCTTTGCTGTCACATCCCAGATCCCACAGAGAGCATCTTTCCTCATCACTTAAAAAGGCAGAGTTCTTGCTCCTGCATTGGGACAAAACACACAGAGATAGGGTCAGTGCAAGGTTATAGGCTTGACCTCTTCTTCTCTCCACGCTAGGCTACTGTGAATGACATAGAGGCCATGAACCATTTGCCCATAGCTGAATCAGATGCTTTATCTCACTGTCACAAGTTGTATTCGTTTTTCCAAGGAAGAAGAGCTTTCCCACCTCATTTATGGAGGAGTGAGCTGAGTGGTTGTTAGGCAGGACAAAACAGGTCTGGGAATACTCCCATTCCCTTTAAGGCTCCATCTCCCAAAGAAAGCAAAGCCCTTTCTCTCAACCTCTCCCCATTGAGACCACGTGGTGCCCAGTATTAATGAAAGAAACAGAAATGAGTTTTCCTAAATGCAAGGACTGAAAAGGGAGTCTTAAAAGAAGCTTCTTTGTTCATAGGTTATGCCAGGTAAAAGGTATGGACAGGTAATACAACCTAGAGAAACAATGAAAAAAGTCTACCTAGTCTGAAGGAATCCTTCACAAATGTTGATATCTAATTTCATGGCACAAAACAGCAGCATTATGTAACATTAAGAGAGGAATAGAATAGCTAAGACATGGGAAGAGTAGATAGATAGTAGATACTATGGTATAGTAGGTTAAGCCTCTGCCTGTGGTACTGGCATCCCATAAGGGCTGCCCCTACTGCCCCAGTTCATGCCCCTACTGCTCCTCTTCTGATCCAGCTCTCTGCTTATGGCCTGGGAAAACAGTGGAAGTTGGCACAAGTGCCTGGACCCCTGAACCCCTGTGGGAGACCCCAGAAGAAGCTCCTGGCTCCTGGCTTTGCATCAGCCCAGCTACAGCTATTGCAGCCATTTGGGGAGTGAACCAGTAGATAGAAAACCTCTCTCTGTCTCTTCCTCTCTCTATCTGTAACTCTGCCTCTCAAATTAATTAATTAAGAAAAAAAAAAAAGAGTGGGTAGAAGGAGAGCCAGAGGCTGGAAGAATTGATGATAAACAGAAGAGATCTTTATACTCTCCGGCTGTATAAACTAATTGTTAAGTCTAATTTGCTTAACAAGAGATTTGTCATAAAATTAAAGGGTTGTGAAAACTAGAAATGCTTTAGAAAATATTCAGTCCAGTATCTATATGAGCACTTTTAAGGATCACTTTCAGTTCTAAATAGAAATTATTTTTTAACCTCAGACCCTATTTTTAAAACAAAATTAACTTGGAAGCCCAAGAATTAATAATAGTTAATTCTTTTGGAGAGCTCATCATGGATCAGACACTTATTTCATTTAATCTGCACAACTGCCCTGGGAGGCAAGTACCATAAAATTATTACCTCTTTACATATGAAGAAATTAAGGTACAGCAAAATGAAGTCAGAGGTTAGGGGGTGGTAGGGCAGGAAAGAAGAGCTCCTCTAGTGAAAGCAGAGATCAAGGAGACCTGGGATGGGGTGCTATATCATTCACCATTAGTTCCCATAAAACAGGAAAACACAGTTTGAGAACTAGCGATGAGAAAACTACTTGATCTTCTCAAGGCCACTTCACTAAACTGGCTCCAGAGCTGAGAGCTGTGCCCTAACATCTTTCCCAGGTCTCTTCCCAGCACATGGGCTGAGCTTCCATCTCTATGGCCAGATCTCCAGATTTTCCCCAGTACCGTGACACTCTCGGCCGCAGAATACTACATCTTTGAAATCTAAAACAAATTTACATGGAATAAAAGAAAATATGTAATTCCAAATTTTTATAGAACTCTAAAATTTTAAGAAGTATTCCTAACCCTACTATTTTATTTATTCTTTATAACAACTCTATGATGTGGGTTTTTTAAATCCCTGTTTGTAGATGAAGACAATGGTTTGGAAAGGTTTAGTGACATGTTCAGAATTGCACAGCTAGAAAGTAGTAAAGAATGAAAATGAAGTCCTCCATCTCTGTGTCCATTGCCTCACAGTTGATCTCCAAATGCCCTGTATTCCAGGTATGTAGAGAGAATCCAAGAAATTTGGCAAACTGCACTAGGGAATGTCAAACATGGAAGCTGGGTTAGGATAATTCTGGCAATATGGCAGGCTGAAGTGCTCTAAAGGGGCTATTCTCCACCATCCACATAAACAAATCCTGCATAAAATGTAATAAAAGTGAACATTTTAATACATTCCTTAATTTTGAAGAAAGAAAGGGAAATCACTAGGAGCAAAAAAAAAAAAAGGAAAAATTTAAATCTTTTTAGGTGAGAGCAGGCAGTTCACGGATCTTACGGGGTTCAGTCAGATTTTGGCTGGCACTTCAGACCTCGGACAGGGGTTGACCTTAAAATGCCCTCTTCCCATGGTCAAGAGATAGGATCCTGTACCTATGAAGCAGGAAAATGGAATCAAGCTTCCTACATAAAGACAGGAGTCTGGAAGGGCCGCAACTTTCATATAGAGGAAAACATAATACCTGCCAAGGACCTACTTTTAATATGCCTGAGTCCTTGGGTTAAAAATCAGACACTAAATTTATGCTATTAGGAGGTGTGGGAACTGATTTTATACTGAACTGTAGGTACCATACTGAGACTATGATACTAGAAAACCAGTCCTGGATCACTATGAGTTCCTAAGATTCAGGATAAGCAAATGCAAAATCTACTCTGCAGAGCATTTTCCTCTGTCCAAGATCCACGCAACATATCTCTTTTTTTAAAAAAAAACATTAGTTCACATGCCAAAAATAACCACACAAGAAAATGAACAGCTCATAAAAAAACCAGTAGATGTACTAAAATTTAATAATATAATTAACACTTAGAAAATTAAAATAATATAATAATAATCTGAAGAAAAATTTATAACAAGCATACTGAAAAATAATGAAATAAAAATAATAAATGGAAACTGCAATGAAAAGTTGGAACATTGTGAGGCAAAAAAAAAATCCTATATGAAAAATAGAAAAATAAATAGTCTAGAAGTGGAAAACAAAGCCAGGAAAATTAAAGAACTATATGAATGGGTTCAATAGTTGGTTTAGTCATAGTAGGGGAGAGAATATTGCCTAGAATGACAAAAAGATGAAAAACATACAAGATTAAGACTGAGGATAGAATGAGTCCAACATACCTCCAATAGGAATTCCAGAAGACAGACTTAAAAAAGAATGAGAGAGAGAGGCAATATTCAAAGGAAGAATGACTGAGAATTTTCCAGAATTGAAGAAAGACATGAGTCTTCAGACTGAAGAAGCACACCAAATCCTGAGCAAAATAAATAAAAACAAATTTTAACATGATTTCCATTGGTTAATAGTATAGTTCTTTTCAACTTGCCTGTTTCTCCTGGTCTTTCATTTTGGGTCCAGTTAACTATTACCTAATTGTTCAATTTCATGAGGTAAAGGAGCATATATTAATAAAATAAAAACAAGGCCGGTGCTGTGTCTCACTTGGCTAATCCTCCGCTGTGGCACCAGCACCCAGGGTTCTAATCCCGGTTGGGGTGCCAGATTCTGTCCCAGTTGCTCCTCTTCCAGGCCAGCTCTCTGCTGTGGCCCAGGAAGGCAGTGGAGGATGGCCCAAGTGCTTGCGCCCTGTACCCGCATGGGAGACCAGGAGGAAGCACCTGGCTCCTGGCTTCAGATCAACGCAGTGCGCCAGCCACAGTGCACCAGCCATAGTGGCCACTTGAGGGATGAACCAACAGATAGGAAAACCTTTCTCTCTGTCTCTCACTGTCTAAATCTGCCTGTAATAAAAATAAATAAAATAAAATAAAATATAATAATAAAGGCAAACACTGAAATTAGTGAAATAGAAAACAAAAACCAACAAAGGTCAACAAAAGAAAATCTGGCTGTTTGAAAACACTAATAAAAAAGACACCTTGACAAAATCCATTTGCCTGGAGTCAGTGCTGTTGCTCAGTGGGCTAAGCCGCCATCTACAATGCTGGAATCCCATATGGTCACTTGCTCGAATCCTGGCTACTCCAATTCCTATCCAGCTCTCTGCTAAAGTGCTTGGGAAAGCAGAGGACAGCCCAAGACCTTGGGCCTCTGCACCCACATAGGAGACCTGGAAGAAGCTCTTGGATCCTGGCTTCAGCTTGATCCAGCCCCAGCTGTTGTGGCCATTTGGGGAGTGAACCAGCAACATAAGTTCTCTTTCTCTCCCTCTTTCTATAAAAATGCCTTTCAAATAAATAAATAAATCTTTAAAAAAAATCAATTTGCACAGTTGAAGATGTAATTTTATACCTAGCTAAATTATCATTCAAAAGCAGATTTTAAGGATGTTTAAGAAGAACAAACATTGAGGTCCTAGGGTATTTACAAATTACATATTTCCACTGAAATGATTACTAAAAGACATGCTGGATATGAAATATGGAATGAAAAAGGAAGTAAACAATTTTTTACTAGAGATATCATGGTACAATTGTAAATTATCAATGACAAGGAGAAAACTGTCTTTAAAAAGTAGGGAAAAAATTGCATATTTGTAAAGAAATGGCCATAAGACTGATAGCAAAAGTGATTATCACAAAAAATAGAATTATAAAGAAGACACAAACAATAACAAAAATATAAGAATATAAGAAAAGATATACTTTATAAAACTGCATATTATAAAATACTGGATTTTCTTCTATGTTCTTTTTTTTCTGGTTTTGAGTGTGGTAATCTGTCATTCAGATTTTTTTAATTCGGGCATCTCAGCATATAAACCTTTAAGTAATTCTTTATTAAAAGCAGTATCTATTACAATATTAATAAATACTACATTTACAATATTAACTGAAAAGAGCCAATTGTAGAAAAAATTTATGTAAAATTTTAAATATGTAAAACCATAGTGCTTTTCTTTGTTAACAAATGCCTATTTTTAAAATGTCTCATAATATGGATGGGAAAGATTCACATCAACTTCATATAGCTGTTGCCTCTGGGCTGGGAATTGGAAGATAAAAGCAGAGAGGGGCTAAAAGGTATCTTCAGGCCGGCGCCATGGCTCAATAGGCTAATGCTCTGCCTAGTGGAACCAGCACACCGGGTTCTAGTCCCGGTCGGGGCTCCGGATTCTGTCCCAGTTGCCCCTATTCCAGGCCAGCTCTCTGCTATGGCCCGGGAGTGCAGTGGAGGATGGCCCAAGTGCTTGGGCCCTGCACCCGCATGGGAGACCAGGAAAAAGCACCTGGCTCCTGGCTTCAGATCAGCACGGTGCGCTGGCTGCAGTGTGCCGGCTGCGGCGGCCACTGGAGGGTGAACCAACGGCAAAGGAAGACCTTTCTCTGTCTCTCTCTCACTGTCCACTCTGCCTGTAATAATAAAAAAAAAAAAAGGTATCTTCAGTTGTATCTAAAATTCCTGTTTCTTTAAAACATATACAGCATTTTCAAACACTCAAATCAAGTGTTTTCTAAAAGCACAGAAGTTTTGTAAAAAGCAACCAAAACAAGGAAGGGTGTGGTAGTCTGTCTTTCAGTTTCAAAAGCTCTGAAATCTACAGAGTCACTCTAGTAAAACCCAAATACTATGCTTGGACAGAATATCAAAATTTTACATTTTTAAAACCTGTCACGAATTTTAAAAACCAGTTTGTTGTGAAACAAGGTAGCTGGTGTCAAAATCTGAGCCAAGAAAAAAAGAAAAAGAAGGGAAACCCACAAATTTGCTTCTGTGCATGAGCAGGTTCTTTTTCTCTTATGCGAGAGGCACAGGCAAACTGACTTAGAAATAGCTTCTGGAGAAACTGTACCGTTATGCTGTCAGTTAGGTACACACAGACACAAACTCCTCAGCAAGTAATACAAGTACCAGAACAGCCCAGGGAGAGCACCTCCAGGAGGGAATGGAGACTTCAGCCAAACACTGAGACTGCCTTCTGGAACCTGATACTAAACAAACTCAGCCTGAGAGTGACACCCAGCGGCCAAAGTCAGCCCAGCGCACGGACTTCCACTCACTGCTGCTGCCGGTCAAGCTCTTCTGGCTGCCACTGCTCTGAGCCCAACTTCCATCCCTCAGTGGCCGTGGTCCATGGATGTCTGTGGTCTAGGGAAGGTGTTGGTGGCTGTATAAGTTCCCAGCTCCCTCTGCTCCTTCTTCCACCCCTTCCTGGTTCCTGGCTCACTTTCCCCTTCCCTACTGAATGTGTAGTCTCTGGAGCATTGGGTCCCACAGGGAACCAGGTGAGGACAATGGACAGCACTTTGGAAATAAGGAGAAAGTCGTACTGCCACCTCATGGGACACGAGGATGTTCCTCAGTGAGAAAGCGTCCCTTACAAATAAGCCAGGTAAAATGTAATGACTAAACTAGTTTAGTCATACTGAGCTATTGTTATTTGAAGCAAGGTGTAAGATGCAGAAGTCCAAGTATGATTTATGGAATCTGGCAACCGTCTCCAATGTTCAATTAAAACTGCCTCTCTAAGATTTCTACCACTACAATGACAAGAACAACAACAACAATAAGAGCTAATGAGTAATGAAGCATGCACACACACACACACACACACTCATATAACACTGTTAAGTGGTTTATGTGCTCATTTTAACTCAGAGCAAGCCAATTAGGCAAGTACTAATATTATACACATTTCACAGATGAGAAAACTGAGAGAGAGAGAGAGAGAAAGAGAGAGAGAGAGAAATTAACATGTCCAAAGTTACAGAGCTGGTAAGCTGATGAAGACACAGGTTATGGTCTGACTCTGACTCCTGAACTTTGCAAAAGACTAAGCCACTCTACTGCCCAAAGGCTTCCCAAGGGACACCCCCAAAACCTTTTCTCAGTGGGTCCTGCCTTTCCTGAGGACAGCATGCAGCATCAGACTTCCCCCACTTCCTCCCCACAGCTGGGCCTTCCTCTCTGTAACCTCCTCTGTCTCCTTGGCCACATTCTTTCCTCTGCTCTAAGGCGCTTCCACATCAAACCTGTCTTCTACTCCCTTTATTCTTTCTCCCTTTCCCCAGGACCTCAGCTGCAGAGCCCACTGAATTGAGTGTCAGTATTCTGGAATTCTAGACCCAAGGCCTGCGTTCAGCCCCTTCCTTTCTGAAATCTCCCTGGTCCCTGCAGTAATAGGAGAGGTGGTTTAGAGCTAAGTCGTCACCTTGGCTGCCCACCAGCCCCACCTGTGGCCCTTCTCTAAATGTCACTGCCATGCCCCACCCTGGCCAGGTGGATGTGAGCCTCTGAGAGTAGAACACAGGTGTCCACATTTGCAAAGTTCCCAGAACCTCTGGCTTCCTGTAGGTTGGTCCTCAGCAGCGGCCTTTCCTCTCCATTCCCGTGCCTCTCCCAGGCGCCAGTCTCAGCCTTCTCACTGGTCTCCTGCTCTCCTGCCCCCAGGCTCCCTTGCTGATGCACTCCTCACCCAGAGCCAGGCTTAGCCTCCTAGAGAACAGGTCCAAGATATCAGAGCCTTGCTCAGAGACATTCAGGGGCTCCTCGTTCCCTGCCAGGTGAAGGGCGGGCCCTGCATGGGCACCCCTGACTTCTCTATCATTACCCCACTGAGCCTTTGATGTACCAACTCCTTCCTGATAATTTATCTCCTAATGAGCATGAGCCATTCCTCAAGCATCACCATGGTTTCCTACCTGCCACCTCTGCTCCCCATGTACATCTGTTAAACTATTTTACATCGTGCAAAGTTCAACTCAACGTCGCCTTTCTCATGAAAGTTCTCCTGATGTCCTTTTCCTCCTTAGCAGTGACCACAGCTTGTCACATTTCTCCAGGAGCTCAGTGGGTAGGCTACCTTATTTAGAGTTATTTGGGTTCCACATTTCTGCACAGAAAAAAAATGTCCTCTTTGCTCTTAGCCCCACAAAAGCCTGGGCATAGCAGGAGCTTCTATCCTTTCTACACTCTTCTTGCTGGCTTTCTCCCTTGAGAGAGGGAATTCCAGTCTGAGTACTCAGATTCTAGACACTGCTTGGACCAAATTTTCTTGGTGTAGCGTGCTATGGTGCCTCAGTGTCAAGAGCCAACTCTATTTCTCCTGGGCCCAGGCTCTCTGTACATCCCTGTGCAGAAAGCCCACCCAGAGAGAGTGGGCAATACTGCCAATCTCAGCCCTCCAAGCAGGGAGGGTGGATTAGGCTGCCCTGAGTTGCTGATTGCTCAGGAAGGTGAGTCTGCTCCTCAGAGCCAATCCTTCTGGACTCAAGGCAGACAAGGGGAAAGGGTGCACTCTGCTCTCCTAGCCGACACTGACTTCACTCCTCCAAAGTTGAATTTATGAAGATCTATACAGGAGACCTACACAGGGACCTGCCTCCCAGACCTACATGGGAGGGAAATTCTCACTGACCAAACTGGTCATCTATTTCTCCCTGTGCATGCCCATCTCCTGATGGGCTCCTTGGTTGGATAGGGTGAGTGGCAGGATCCTAGTACCAAAACCACACCCTCAGTGCCAAACAGCAGGCCCTTTGCCTGGGGGTTGCGCTTCTCTTCCTGGACTGAGGCATCCCAGTGACCCAGTGTCGAAATGGACTCAGTGGACTCATTCCTGATCACTCACTTCTTCCTATCACTCTGTGTCAGCCCTGGTTGTCAGAATGTGCTGCTCCGGCTCTGTGTTACCAGGGCACCCCTGAAGTGCATCTACAGATCAGCTCAGAGAGGAATGGAGCACTGGGGAAGGCAGCCCAGCTCCAGGACATACTCACTGCCATACTCACACGGAGGAGTAAGAATCAGGATCTATGTTCCTGGTAGGCACAAAGCCCACTTCTCCTGAGCTCATGGACTTCCCGATGAACCACTGCAGCCCGGGAATAATGAAGCCGATGATCTCGATGCTGTCTCCCTGCTGGATACTCAGTTCATCCTTTGCTTCCCATTTATAATCCTTCAGGGCCTTACATCTTCCTCTGCCTGTGCAAATAGGACCAGGTCAGCTCAGTAAGACACAAACGGCTAAGTGCGCCTTCGTCCTCCAACATCACATGATGAAAGGGTTCCCGACTTTAGGATTTCAAGGACCACTAAAGACTCCCACCACCCAATTTAAAAAAAAAAAAAAAAAAAACTTGCAAGAAGGACACAGTATACCTGGCTTTTCATTTTGCCAGTATAAGACATGCAAAAAAAAACACCATAATGCATTTTCACCATCATTTTAAAAGAGAAAAATATGTTTTAACAAACATAAGAAAGATGTTCTCAAAGATGTTCTCAGAATACTACATATGGCTTAGATCGGAATAAATGAAGCTTATGGAAAACTTTCTGTATTTTCCTAGTTTGTCTGATTTTGCCCTGTTGTTATGATAAACACTTTGTCTTGTTTAGCACAAACCTGCAACCCAGGTGTGAGAACCATGGTCCTTTCTGTTCCTTTGGCCACTATGACCCTCGGTCTCCCCAGCTTTACAAAGGGGTGAATAAAAGGGTCCGCATGCATAAATATTAGGAATAGTCACTGAGATAAAGTACACAATACCTGGCCCCTAGTCAACCCTCAACAAATGTCAGTCTGCTTATTGTTTGTGACCCACAGGGTTCTAAAAGACCCTCCTAACAATAGTAAGTACCCAGTTTGACAGGTTGCCTACTCAAGAGTCCGGTAATGACACGTATTACCAGTGTTGGACTGGCCAACAGATAATGTCCATTCAAGTCCATTTGCTCAGATCTTCCCAGGAGCCCTTTCTTTTCATGAGAAAGTGGAGGCCTAGAGAGAATATGTGATTTTCTGAGGAGCTGATTGTGGAAAAACTGGGCCTACAACTGAAGCCTAGAAAACCTCTGGTTATCCCTTCTTCCACTAACCCTGGTCTAGTTGAGACCAGGGCTTTTGTATACTTCTGTTTCCATATTTGCATTAACTTCTCTGCTAAAGCTACTGGCTTAATTTTTTTCTGACACCTTGGTCCATTTTACAATGCCTGTGTCTTCAAGATCAGGATGTCTCAATGCTGTGAGTTGATGAGAGCTTTGTATGATTCCTGTGATTTACAGACGTCATTCGGTTTAGTCCTCAAGACAACACTTGAAATTGATTTTATTGTATCACTTCACTACTGAGGAAGTTGCAGCAGAGTGAAAGCAGGTGAATTGGTGGAGGTCATGCTGGTTTTCAGTTTCGGAGTCAGAATTTGAGCCCAGAGCAGACATCAAACCCCGTGATTCCAGCTCCAAGACTGCACTGCCTCAGATACAAACCTTGTTTGTCGTTGAAAACTGACACTAATTCCTTCTATTTCTTTTTCCAGTTGTTATTTAGACTTAAATAATTGCACTTTCTGCCAGGGCAGGAGGCAGAGAGTTGGTTGGGGAAGCTCTAACAATAAAGATGAAAGGCAGAAATAACCAGATATCTAAAGCAAAATGAACTTAATTATCCAGTAGATGCATGCATACAAACAGATATGTGCATATGCACATACAAGTAGAAATTATTTACAATGTGTATATGTCTATATATGTGCATATTTAATCACTTATTCAACAAATATTTACTGAGTACCCACCATATGCCAGGCATTCCTGCTCTTCATTAATTCAAAGTTAGTCTCACAAAACTCTATGGAGTTACATTACAACGTTTTGACCAGAGATTGAAAACAGGCAGCCTGCAAGTCATACTTGGCTCACAAAATGTTTAATTTGGCCCGTGCCAGGCTTTTCTTTTCACTCATATATCCTTAAATCCCTGTGGTCCCTGTCATTCCCTGACGTTTCCCATGCCATCCCTCCATACATTTGTGTGCCTTGCCTGCCCCAGCAGGCACCTGTGTCTCGGCCCTGTATTGAGACCTCTCATTTCACAGGCAAGGATATGCATGTGTAGACAGTGACCAGCTTCTCTAAATCCAGACAGTAGCAGAAGTGAGACAGGAATTCACATCAATTGACTCCAAGCCTGCAGATAAAATTAGGAGGCAGGACATAATTATCTCTCTAACAATACTATGTTTTCCATTCAGCCATACCAATCTGATAGGAGCCTGTCCAATCTCTCTTCCTGGAAAGGCCACAGCTTCCTGGATAATTCTTTAGGAACCATCTGCCAATGGAAAATGAGGTTTGTAAAACAGATTTCAAAAGCTCGAAACAATGAAGAATCCGTTAGAATAACAACAATGATGATAGGTTTGGTTCTTCCTCTTCTTATAATGATGACAAACATTTATTGAGAACTTGCCTTATACCAGGCACTGTGAAAAAGAGAGAAGTTCAGCAGATCTGGAATGTTTTCCAGCTCTGCAATGAGTTTGTCAGTTAAATAACTAATAAATGATTCCTTTATATTCTCCAGATTCCCAACCAAAGCTACATACACGGTCCACAGCCTAGGGCAATGTTTACAGCTCCTCTATGTGTTTGAGTTTTTAATATCTTACAGCAGACATTCTGAAACTTTAGTGTGAAAAATATCCCCCAGGGGGCTTATTCAAAATGAACACCCAAGGAGAGTCTGAGGTGGGTCAGAGGGCCCGGACTTACGGTTCAATCCTCAGGTGGTACTGCTACACGTGACCTCCAGCTCATACACTGTGAAGCACAGTGTTGTAGTCAATGGGGTTTGTTTCCTCCAAGATATGAGGTCCATTTGAAACTTAGACTTGTCCCCAGTTCCATCAAATTGGGCAAAGCTTAACTGTTTTTTTTTTTTTTTTTTTTTTTTTTGTTTGTTTGTTTTGTTTTTTGACAGGCAGAGTGGACAGTGAGAGAGAGAGACAGAGAGAAAGGTCTTCCTTTGCCGTTGGTTCACCCTCCAATGGCCGCCGCGGCTGGCGCGCTGCGGCTGGCGCACCGCGCTGATCCGATGGCAGGAGCCAGGATCCAGGTGCTTTTCCTGGTCTCCCATGGGGTGCAGGGCCCAAGCACCTGGGCCATCCTCCACTGCACTCCCTGGCCACAGCAGAGAGCTGGCCTGGAAGAGGGGCAACCAGGACAGAATCCGGCGCCCCGACTGGGACTAGAACCCGGTGTGCCGGCGCCGCAAGGCGGAGGATTAGCCCAGTGAGCCGCGGCGCCGGCCTGCTTAACTGTTAATAATAATAAAGATAACCAGATTTTGTTTTCTCCCCAGCACCATGGAAATCCTTCTTTGAAACCAGGTCCACCGTTCTATACAGACCCCTATCTCTCCAGGACCCTCTCCCAGGAGGCTGCTGGCTACTCACTGGTGGAAAGGTAGAGGCAGGGGCTCCAGGGCTGCCACAGGCACCAGGCCTCGCTGACCTGTCACCAAGGACACGCCTTCCCACTGGGACACGCCTTCCCACTCAGACCCGCCTTCTGCTATCTTCACGGAGATTAATTCATTCTTGCAAAGTGTCAAGTACTCCCCTTCCTTCTCAGCTGGTTGAGCCACAGAGCACATGGCTCTGCAGAAGAAGTGGCCTGTAGACAACAAAAAAAAGGTCTTTCCAAGGGGAAGCAGGAAGTAAAAGGGTATTACCACACAATGCACCATCAGGCAAAAGCCCAAGCACTTTTTGTCCTGGGAGTAAAGGAGATAGTCCAAGGAGAGGCACCACGAGAGTCCCTTGTGATGTCAGAAAAACTGTTATCAGGAAGAATGGGACTAGGAGGGAATTCACTTAAAATAGACACCAACAATTCTGAGTAATCTGTGAGAATGAGTCTGGATTGAGACTTTACTTTGTAAAGGAGATGAAACAAACACATATAAAAATATATCTATATTTAACAAGACTTAGCTATAATTACAACCTTGGGTTTAGTCTTAGAACCACAAAAAATGAATTAAGGTAATTTAGTTGAATAGAATTATTCCAACTAAGTTTTATAGCAGTACAATGTGAAGTCCTTTTCCTTATATATGCTTTGTATCATACAATCATCAAGAGAATTCTTTTTGCAAAAATATTACACACAAATCTGGCTCTTTCACTGTGTTTGTTGTGTCACTACACTCTGCCACCCCCATTATCCACTGGTCAATGGTAACCTGGATGAGATTCACACTGGTAAACAAATCAAAGGGTGCTCTAAGGGGTTCTGCAACATCACTCTACTCAATTTTAGGACATTTCAGGTTTTGCAAAACTTCTGACTTTATTTACAAATTATATCACACATTTAGAAAAGCACTTTTCAGTCTTGAATACACTCTAGAATCACATGGGAAACAATGCGTAGGTCCCCACCTCCAGGGATTTCATCAGCCTCTTTCTAAAACTCCCCAAGCAAGGAGTGGATGCTTGGTGCCATAGTTAAGATGCCAGTTGGAACGCCTACATCCCATATCAGAACACCTGGGTTTGGGTCCTGGCTCTGCTTGATTCCTGCTTCCCACTAATGCACACCCCGGGAGGCATCAGGTGGTAAGCAGTTGGATCCATGCCACCCGTGTAGGAGACCCAGATTGAGTTCCCGGCTCCTGGCTTTTGCCTGGCTCCTTCCCAACTGCTGCAAGGATTTTGGAAGTAAATCAGCCCATGGAATACACCTCTCTCCTTCTTTCAAATAAAAAATAATTAATTTGTTAGTTAATTTTAAAACCCCCAAGGAGTTATAATATTAATCAGCGAGGCTAATGATCCAAGCAGGTCACATGATGTCAGTGCTGAGCTGAGAAAGACTTTTGGAGAAGAGAAAGGTATATTTACAACAGGCAGGTTCATTTGTGAATATTTTCATATTCGAGTGATTTTCACCTCCCTTTGTATCCCACTTATTTCAGAGACTCTGATAAATACCTGGATAAGGTCCTATCCACACCTTTACGCCACACTTACCTTCCTGTATCAGGAGTCCCAGGTACATTGTTTCCAGGTGTTTGTCATCGACAGACACTTGGATCTCTGTATCCTCCACCAACCTGCAGTTGAGCCAGTACTTGTGGTCAAAGAGGAGATGCTCCAGACATGTAGATACGTAGCCTGGAAGTCAAGCCAACAAGATTGCTAAACAAAATGACTTATGTCACTAGCTCAGCGATGAAGAGAATGGGCAAGCTCCCCCTGAGCATGATCACCATGATCAAAGGGAAAGAGATTTATTTATTAAAGATTATAGATAAAAATTTATTTAGTAAAAATAAATAAATAAATAAATAGAAAAAGAAGCATCAACATTATATCTATCTCAGTCCTTTGGATTTAGTAAAGGACCAAATTGTTTGTCAATAGCAATTGATTAGTTACCTAATAAAGAAAGCACTCCTGGGACAAAAAGAAGCAAACTTCTTCACAGGACATTTTGGTGCAAAAATGAAAATTTACAGTAGATTTAGCATCAGGCAGTTAGTGATATTTCAGAAGTTAACCATCCTCTTAAAGGATTTCTCTCTCTCTTTAAATTATCAAAGACAGACCAATTCTGAAATGTCAAGTACTACAAAAGGGCTGCACTGTGAAGTAGGCCTTCAACCTGTTCTAGGTCATACCTAAATTCAGGTATGTGGAGAACTTCCATATTTCTTCCATGGTCTTGAAGGTGATCAGGAACTGGGCCCTTTGGGACTGGATACTGACCAACCTTGCAGAGAGGTCCTGGATAAAGAGAGCAATGAGTCAGCCCGGAATGACAGATTGCCCTGTTTACAAGCTCACCTATGGACCAAATGCTTTGTATGAGCCTCCTGATTGCAATATTTGTTTTTATATGGCAAAAAACAAAAAATAGGAACATAAATATTTATCAATAGGAAATTAATTACACTGGAATATGGTTCATCCATACAGTGAAATATTATCTATTATATTATAAGTATATTATAATATAAAAAAGCTGTGTGTTGACATAGGCTCCAAATAGACACAGCCAAGTGTCTATTAGAACAGCAGCAGCAGCACAAAAAAAACAGGATGTAGAACTATGTGCAGAGGATGCTACTGTTTGTGCTTAAAAAAAAAAAAAAAAAAGACTGATGCTGTGGCATAATGGGTAAAGCCATCACCTGCAGTGCTGGCATCCCACATGGGCACTGGCTGAACACCTGGCTGTCTCCCTTCCAATCCAGCTCTCTCCCTATGGCCTGGGAAAGCAGGAGAAGATGGCCCAAGTGCTTGGGCCCTTGCACCCATGTGGGAGACCTGGAAGAAGCTCCTGGATCCTGGCTTTGAATCAGCCGAATTCTGGCCATTGTGGCCATTTGGAGAATGAACCAGTGGATAGGAGATCTTTCTCTTTCTCTCTCTCTCTCTCTCTCTCTGCCTCTGCCTCTCTGTAATTCTGCCTTTCAAATAAATAAATAAAACTTTTTTATACAAAATGTTTGTGGGAAGGTAGAGGATGAATCATAGAAGGTACCTTTGAAACAAATTTGATTAAAAATCTATGTCTAAGGATTAATTCTGTGGATCTGGGAAGCAGGAAAACTCAAACACATAAGACAAAAATCATTCATAATCCTTTCCACTTGGAGATCACCTTTAATCTACACATGAGTTTCCTTGTAACTTTATATAGGTAGCTGAATAGTACCATAGTATATAAACTGTTGTGCAATCTTCTTTTGTTGCTAAACATTTTTTTGTAAAACATCTTCCATGTCATTAAGTACTCCACACTATTTTTAATGGTTACAGATATCACTGTTACATTAACATAATTCCTATAATTTCCTTATGGCTTCACATTTCAGTCGTTTCACAATTTTTGGCATTCTAAATGGTACTTTGATAAACATCTTTGTAACATGTTCAATTTTTTAAACATATATTTATTTATTTGAAAAGCGGAGTGACAGAGACAGAGACAGAGACAAAGAGATCTTCTATTCATTCGTTTACTCCCCAAATGGTCATAATGGCTGGGGTTGGGCCAGCCCAAAGCCAGGAAGTCCATCCAGTTCTCCCACATGGGTGCCAGGGTCCCAAGTATTTGGGAAATCATCCGCCACTTTCCTACGTGCATTAGCACAAAACTGTAGCCGGGACTCATAAAACCAATATAGGATGTAAGCATTGCAAGTAACAATTTAACACCGTGCCACAACACCAGCCCCCCTTGATTGTTTTGACAAAAGTAATTCCAAGCAGTGCAACTGGGAAAGCAAGGATATGCACATTTGCAGTCCTAAAATGCAGGCATGCAAATACTCTGCAGAAAGCTCGTTCCTGTTTAAGTGAGCACAAGCTGAACAAGAGCAGGCCTGTAAGCCTCTTGTTTGTAGACGCCTGAGAAAACAGACTCAGATCACTGCCTTGACTTGGTTTTCCCCAAAATCTTTCCCTGTTGCTTGCCCAAGCCTCTACAGCTGATGATCATCAGTGATGGTCAGAAGACTCCTCCCCTAGAACATGCTCCACCATGAAGACCACCAACTCATGTAGCCCTATCACGAGAGAGCCTTAGGGGACTCAGGAGAAGAAGACAGAAGAACACAAAGGAAGTTCCCATAGCCCCAAAATCAGACTACTGGGTTCCACCATATCAGACTCCAAAAGGCCCCAGATGCGTAGAGGATGAAGATCCTATAACCAGGTAAGAGGTGCTTGATAAAAATTGATTTATATGGAATGTAACACACCGGGCACTCCACCAACTGCTTTATCAGCAGTACCTCATTTAACTTCCCCAATAACCCAGTGAACAAAGTGCAATTATCACATTTAATCCATTCTCAGAGGTGCTTTTTTTGCACTGAACCATTTCTGAAATAGAAGATGAGGAACACAGAATTATACTTAATTGGCAGCCTTTGCTTTCTCTCTTGAAGGGACATAAAATACTGGTGTACTTTATAATCAATGGCATCTTGGACTTAATGAAAAATGGCATTATTCCTACTTTGTATCCCAAGGGTCTGGGTACAGAGAGGTCAAGCACCATGCAAATAAGCTGCACATTGCTCACTGGCTCTCAGGCACAGCTAACTTCAGGCTTCAGCTTCAGCCATGAGCTTGTCCTGCTCAAGCCCCAGCCCGGAAGACTAACCCTCTCAATCAAAACCCTGCCAACCATACCAAAGGTACTCAAATTAAAGGAAAATCAGTTGTACAAATTCACAGCTAATATCTCTAAGTTCCTGAATTCAGAGATTAAAAACTAAAATATCCTCAGCTATCATTTTAAATTTTTTAAATTTGTATTTATTTATTTGAGAGTTAGAGTATGTACTTAATGCATAAGTACATTCCACATTAAAAAACAATTAACATGGAAAATTTTGTTAGGTATATTATATCAAAGTAAAAAAATTAATTAAACTAAAATGTACCACATTAGGAAAAAGTATAGTTATAAGGTGGGTCTTCCAAGGATTCCCATCTACAGAAGGTAACTAACTTTTGAAGGTCACCCACTAATAGAAGCAGGCTTGAACCAAGTTTTCTCTGACTCAGTGACTTCAAGTTGCCCTATTCCAAGTTCCTCCCCATTCCTGTGAACCAGAAAATGTGTCCTGACTGCCCATTCAGTCAGCCCATGAGGCGGAAGGATAGAGGTGCTAGGGATCCTGCAATGGAGGGATACTTGCTCCACCGCTGAGTTCACCTGCTGGCACTCACACTCACCTTGAACAGCGTCCGCACCTCCTGGTCTTCATTCTCCAGTGCCCAGAGCCGCCTGCGTGCAGCTTCCTGCAGTGGTGCGTTCACGCACCTCCTGGAGCGGCTCTTCACACAGAAGGAGAGAGTCAGGTCTTAAAAGAGAACAGAGGGAGAAGGATCAAGCTGGAGATGCAATATAAGGGAAGAAAGCATTAGATTAACCCCCAGTGTTTTTCCCACCTGTTTGTGTAAAGCCTAAATTGATGCCCTCATTAATTACAGACTAGAGTGGTCTTAACAATCCCTGAGCACACCTTAAAATTGTCCTCCCCATACTGAAGCCCAGGAGGGCTCTGGAACCCAGGAATTGATGCTATACTGTTGGCTGTTTCTGCATTGTACAGGGTTTATTCCTAGGCTGTCTGGCACCACATGTTGGTGCTGACACCAAGCCAGCCAGGTGTATATGGGCTCCTGTGGATGATCCGTGAAACCGTTGAGCAATATCTAAGGAAATGGACTTGTATTAGGTAATAAACATAAAATATTTTATGCATTATACATGCACACAACCCTTTTCTCTAGCCTGTCTCCTTCTGATACTGCCTTTATTGATGTTTCTCAGGGTAATTGATTAATGTATTAAGGTCTTCATTCTAATTTCTTCGAAATGCACCTTCATCCAAAACACACTTGTAGAGAGCAACCTAGGAGTCAGGGTTGTTCTAAGCATGGAGGATACTGCTGAGAACAACACAGGCATGGTCCCTGTTCCCATGGAGCTTGTATTCTGCTTTGCAAATAACTAATTTCACAAATGCAATGACTTCCAGTAGAGAAAAGTTCCATGAAAAACATGTAATTGGGTTGAAAGAGGTGCAGGAAAGAGCACCCTGAGAAGGTTCATCTTAAGATTGCACTTTCGGCCGGCGCCGCAGCTCACTAGGCTAATCCTCTGCCTTGCTGCGCCAGCACACCGGGTTCTAGTCCTGGCTTGGGGCGCCGGATTCTGTCCCAGTTGCCCCTCTTCCAGGCCAGCTCTCTGCTGTGGCCCGGGAGTGCAGTGGAGGATGGCCCAAGTACTTGGGCCCTGCACCCCATGGGAGACCAGGATAAGCACCTGGCTCCTGCCGTCGGATCAGTGTGGTGCGCCGGCCGCAGTGCGCCAGCCGCGGCGGCCATTGGAGGGTGAGCCAACGGCAAAGGAGGACCTTTCTCTCTGTCTCTCTCTCTCTCACTGTCCATTCTGCCTGTCAAAAATAAAAAATAAAAAAAAAAGATTGCACTTTGCAGTGTGCCTTCTTCAGACAATGGGCACTCTCAAGAATAATCATTCAACACAATAAGCAGGGGAGGCACTGAACTGGACCATCTCAGAGGTCTCTTTCCTAACTCCAACTTACCAAGACCTTTGAAAACGATCTTTGTACAGCCCCTATCCTGCTCACCTGGGTCTACAGCAACCCTGAACTCCCACCTTTAAAAGGCCTATTTTTAACCTGGAAATCCTCAAAATGCTATGTCTACAGATCTTAGGCAACATGCAGCAATTATCTGACTTTGATGTGAACTTCAGATAGATGTTGGTTCGAATCACTTTCTCCCTGGTCTATGTTCCAATCTCATCCAACCCCTCCACTTTCAGCAGTTCCTGTCCAGCCCACTGATAGCTTCAGTGCTCGACAAAGTCCAGGTGGAGGCCCACTACGAAGGTGAAACCCAGGGAGGAGTCCCACAGACTCAGGCTCAAGGTATGGCTCTACCCCTCAATAACTGCCTCCTTGAACAATTAGGCAGCTCTATATGCTTGACTTTTCCCATTAGCAAAATGGCTTTGATGGTACCTGGCTTGCAGGGGTTTAAATGGCTTACTAAATGAGATTATGCATATAATCCTGTTTTGCTGAGCGCCTGGCACATATCAAATGTTCAATAAACACATAAATAGCCAACAATAGCCTCTTCTCCCTGCCCCACTCCCTAGGACTCCAGCAATTACTGCCCACAGGTGTTCTCATATGACTTTTGACCTTGACAATAACTGATTCTGTGAGTCCTTTATTCCATGCCCCTTTTCTCCCATCCTTCCAAATCCTAACCCAAGTCTACTCTGGAATTTCAGAATAGCCCCTGCTGACTGATAGCCCCTTTGGTGTCAATCTCCTGGCCACGTGTATGAATCCATGGATGCAGAAATCCAGAGACCTGGATTTAAACAAGCAAACTGCTTTTGAGGTCTCAACCAGGGAGGACTGATTCTCAGAGCAGAGCTTCTGGGCTCACAGTGAGACCTCACAGTGCCCAGAGGCAGTCATAAATCAAATTTGCTCTAGTTCAGTGTGGAGGATGTTGTCATATTTTAATACTTCCAGGAGCCAGTCTGTAATCATGGTAATGTATCTGACTGATTCTCTCTGCAGTTGCTCTGCATCAGGGAGAGATTGCCAGCAAGAGCTGAGTCTCCCCACTCTGTGACCTTCCTGGAAATAGCACCATGGCAGACAACACTGTAAGATGGACAAGTCCAGCCTGCAGTTGGTTTGGTTTAACCTACGGATACCCTTCCTTCATTGGCCTTCATGCACTAATGAGGCAAAACGCTGACTCCACTGCACTTATGAAACAACAGATGGTGATTGAGGTTTTTTTCAGGGATGCCCCCAGTTGTCGGGCAGAGAGGCAGATTGAAACAACAGCATGAAACAAAGGCTGAGGTTTTTCTCATTGTCAACCAAGCAATTTGACAGAATTTCAAACTGGGAAAAGCAGAAACCTGGTATGACATTTATATAACATCTATTCAAATGATTCATATCCTTAAAGATTCATAATCTCTTTTGCATCCCAAGAAAGTGGATATTTGGAGGTGTGATGGAACATGGTGGTTACAAACAAGGATTAAGGCTTGCACTCCTTCCTCATTGTATGTTGACTGAGAGGAAATGAAATTACTTCCCTCTCTGAGGCTCTGTTTCCCACCTGATAAGTGGTTGGTTGGGTGTCTCTACCTAAAGATAAGAACATGTAAAAATCTCTTGACGTATCATTTGTCCTCAAAAATGGTTCCCATTATTGGGCCATAGACACCGAGACATCTACAGGCTGTCCCTACAGTTTCTGGCACACGGTTCAGCACAGGTGTAGCTTTCCCTAACAGCAGCCTTCTCTTCCAGCTTCTTTGAGGAATCTTGATGGGGTTCTTGTGAGAGACATGTATCAAGAAAAAGGCTTTTTCACATTAATTTCAAAATTTTTTTCTGTTTCTGAAAGAGGCACACAAACACACAAATGTCCTCTTTAGGCAATCTCACTCCACATATTCAGCATTTCATTCACTTATTATATAATAAACATTTATTCAAAACATCTCTATATAATGTATTATATTAGGTATTATTTAGAATTTAAATATGACCTCAACATATTTACTCAATGAGCAATGAATTTGTTATAAGTTTTCTGACCGGCAACTGTGTACACTTTTTGAAGTACCATGTTGAATATATAACTATATTTAAGAGGCAGGTGTTTATCCTAGTTGTTAAGACATCCATGTCCCACATCAGAGTGCCTGGGCTCAATTCCTGGCTCTGCCTCTTAACTCCAGCTTTCTGCCAATGCAGATCCTGGGAGGCAGCAGTGATGGCTCAAGTAATTGGGTTCCTGCCACCCACATGGAAGACTGGATTGAGTTCCTGGTTCCCAGCTTCAGTCCTGTTCAATCCTAGTACTTGTGCACCTTTGGGAAATGAACTAACAGCTATGAGCTTGTTCTCTACATCTCCCTCTCCCTCTCTCTCTTCCTCTCTCTATCAAACAAATAAATAAAAATAAAAAAGAGGCCTTAGTAAGGTTTGGCTGCAGGCCTTTAAAAATACAGAAATAAAACAAAATTTACTCCTTCCCCCCAGCCCTGGGAAATCCCATTGATGGTATGCTTTCCTCAACACAGGAAGTGTATGACACCCCTCATATGTCCCAGACTGCGCCAGCCTGAGAAGGTTCAGATTAACGTGGAAGGCGATGGAGGTTAATAAAAGGTTTGTGAGGAGCACTGCAGTCAGACTCATGCAGACAAGTGGGCATTTGGTGACGGTCTCAGGAAAGGTAAGGCAGAGGGAACGTGCAGATGGGAGGTAAGGAGGTTGCTGTAATAATCTACCTGGAAAGTGTTTTTAAACATAGCACTTATCCTTGGGATTCAAATACCTGGAGTCATGTTCTGTGACAGGAAACATCTTTCCTTGTATTCAGATGGGGAGATACCCTCACTTGATATGGCTGGATCCTGGGAAGGAACTTCTTTGCCTGGGGAAAATACAATGAAAGAGCATTTGTAAGAGGGTAAGCAAGATACAAGCAAGGGCTGCAAGGTTTTGTCAAGGGACAATTTTTTTCCAAGACTGGTGACACAAGAATTCTCTTATCACTACTGCCTTAGAATTATTTTGTACTCAGCTGCTATCAGAAAACTGTCATACTTGCTATCTCAATCCTGCAGCCGCCTGGGTGTCCTCTTTTCATTAAAGAAGCAGCCCCACCCATAGGTGAAGCCAAGTCCCAGGGCTTAGTCCACTAAAGGTGCTCAGCACATTTGTGAGCCTACACAGATCACCATGGCTCTGACTACACTAAAATTAAGCTCAAGGCTGGAGAAGAGAAGGAAAATGAGGAGAGCGGCATCACTGGCAAGATGACTGGGCATGGTTGTAAAGGCCCTGAAATGTGTGATTTCCCAGACTGTGCTACTCTCTGCCCACTCAGTAGGATCCTGTCTGAGACCTTAGCTCTTCTCAGCTCTACAAAAAGTTCCTATCTTTTCATCCAGACAAGTGGCCTGGAAACGAGAAGATCAGGACATAGACAAGAGCTAGGAGGAAGTGATTCTGATGGTAGAAAGTTGAAAAGAGAGACCCAAGTGGAGCTGTGACACAGGAGGAAGTAGGTGCAAGGGAGCACAGGAGAATTTCACAGCATCACCTATATATGTGGACTTCCTACAGGGTATCTCCCAAAGACAAGAAGGGAGCCCAAGTCTTCAACACATTTATTTCAGCTGCTGGACTACTCTTTTGACCATGAAACTGCTCAAGGACAATACTATGGGGTAGAATGTTACATAAGCACATTACCTGGTCTTAGAAAGAAGGCTGGGAATTCTGACTCAACCACCAGTTGTGAGTCACTTATTTAATCCTCCCAGTTTCTTATAAAATTATGATTCAGGGTCAAGTAGGCCTGGCAGGTTTTGCATTTGGGATCTTTGCTTCTAATGACACAGCCCAAGGGCGCACCGAGATGGACATTCACACTCACTGCTGGTTAGTGCTGAACCTAAATCATCAAATGGCTGTCAAGAGCCCTTGTTTGCATGCAGGTGGATTTTGACACCTAAGTGGAAGACCTTCTATGTCCTGATGGTGGGAGCAGTTAGCATTGTGAATAATGTTAGTAAGGGAAAACGAAATTAATTTCCTCTCAAAAGGACAGAAGGCGAGCCCATCAGCTCACAGTTCTTCATCCAGTAAATCTTGTTAGCTGTTCAGTGCTGAAAGCTAAGCAGCTTAGCTGGAACGCTGTCAGTAATGAGCTAGAGTTGAACAGGATCAAGTTGTAGTTCAGCTTCCCCAGAAACCAAAAGCAACTGAGGCCAAAAAGCACTAATCTGAGAATCATGAGGTACTAGAATGAGCAGGAATTGGGTGTTTTCCTGTACATTTGTTAGATAGCCTTGGGAAGATCACTTCACTTGCCCAGGTTTTGAGATATCACTTTCCCCGTTTATAAGGAAGTGGGTTAGTTTAAATTAGAGCTCTGAACCTCACTTGCTAGTATGAATTGTCTAGGTTGTTTTTTAAAAATAACAATGCCTAGAGGTTCTGGTGTCTGTGGTCTGTAGTACAGATGTAGTTAGTTTCTAATTTGAACCAGTGTTGAGAACCACACACCCAAATTGGTGTATTCGAAATATTATTGTAGCCTGCGCCACAGCTCAATAGGCTAATCCTCCGCCTGCAGCGCCGGCACACGGGGTTCTAGTCCTGGTCAGGGTGCCGGATTCTTTCCCGGTTGCCCCTCTTCCGGGCCAGCTCTCTGCTGTGGCCCAGGAGTGCAGTGGAGGATGGCCCAAGTGCTTGGGCCCTGCACCCCATGGGAGACCAGGAGAAGCACCTGGCTCCTGCCTTCGTATCAGCGTGGGGCACCGGCTGCAGCGCGCCGGCCACAGCGGCCATTGGAGGGTGAGCCAATGGCAAAAGGAAGACTTTCTCTCTGTCTGTCTGTCTCTCTCTCTCACTGTCCACTCTCCTGTCAAAAAAAAATATATTATTGTGTATATGAATCGCCTGGGGATGCTGATAAGATGCAGACTGCGCTTTAGTCATTGAAAGCTGAGCTTTTGAATTTCTCACAAGCTTCCAGGTGATGACTGTGCTGCTAGTCCCAGGGCCATGCCTGGAAAGGCAGCTTACTTCCCCACCCTGGAACAACATTTGACCACGGATTCCTCTTTCTCCTCCTCTGCTTTCCCTACACAAGGGATTTTTTTACTTTGAAATGCTTGACATCATCGAAAAATCAGAATATTCCACATAACTCAAATGCTTGTATTTGCTTGTGTTTGCTCTGTAGCCAAGGGCCTTGATTTTCAATGCCAACACTCAGCTGACATTGAGTGGTTACTGCTCCTCTATGGAGCATTTGTTCTCTGGCCACTCTGGTCCCCACCCATTCCAGTCACTCATTTATACTTGCCCCAGCAAGTTGGAAAGTGTGTTCTTATTATGGAACTCCATGGGAAGAAACAATAGCTTAACAATGATGATGATGACCTGGGCTTGGGGGAGATGAGACACAGCTTCTAAAGCATGAATGAGGCTTACAATTGAAAATCAAAGTTTTGTGAAACGTCATTTGTGGACTGTATGCAGTAGAATTTCTTAGGTATATATTTTTTAAAGTAAACCTATGCAAAATAAACTTGTAAAAAAATTCAAACAACTTAAGGTTGCCAGTGATTTCCTGAACAGCATGGAAAATATGCTACCCTCAGAAGAAATAATTAAAAAAGTGTAATATATTTAATTAGGAACTTGTGTTAATCACAAACAGCAACTAAGCAAATGAGAAGAAAGTGATGGAATAGAAGAAAATATTGAGAAAATGTATAGTCATCAAAGAACCCAAACCTAGAATACATAAAGAATGCTAAAAATCTGTCAGAACTAGGTAAGCAACTCTCCAGAAAAAAAATAGTAAGATGATTTTTTAACAGGCACTTCAGCAATAACAGTATCCAAACTACCAATTAATACATGAAAGTTTGCTCAAATTCAACAGAGAAATGAAAATTAAAACCACAGTGGTACACCGTGTGGCTACATGAAAAAGGCACATAAAGGCAAGTGTTTGTTAGAATAAACAGCAACTGGAGCTCCCATACATTGCAAATGTGAGAATAAACTTTGGACATTTTCTTTGGAAACACAGTCAATTTAAGCTGAAATTATGCACACACAAAAGAATGCATACATATGTTCCCTAAAATATTCAGAGCAGCACTATTCATAACAGCTAGAACCCAACAGTATACTTTGGGTATGGTCTGAAAGCATCCCCCAGAGATTCATATATTTGAAGTTTGGTCCCTAGGGTGGCAGTGTTAAGAAATAGTGGGACCTTTATAAGGTGAGGCCTAGTGGGAAGCAATTAGATCACTAATGGTGCGAATTGTTGTAAAGTAATACGTCTGACCCTTGAGTCAGTCTTTTGGCTTCTTGTCTTGCCACGTGAGCTGTCCCTCTCTCACGTGCTCCTGCCATGGTGCCATCCAACATGAGGCTTGCACAAGAGCCTCGCCAACGCTGGTACCACTCCCCTGACCCTCCAGAACTCTGAACTCTGTTTTTTTTTTTATCAAGTACCCAGACCAAGGTATTTTGTTATAGTAACAGGAAACTGCACTAATATACCTGACATTCAGTGGTTGTTGTTCCTCTATGGAGCATTTGTTCTCTGGCCACCCTGGTCCCTACCCATTCCAGTCACTCATTTATCCTTGCCCCAGCAAGTTGGAGAGTATGTTCCTATTGTAGAAATCCATGAGAGGTCCCTGGCAGCTAGGGGCCGGCACTGTGGCGCAGTGGGTTAATGCCCTGGCCTGAAGTGCTGCCATCCCAAATGTGCACCGGTTTGAGACCTGGCTGTTCCACTTCCAATTCAGCTCTCTGCTATGGCCTGGGAAAGCAGTAGAAGGTGGCCCAAGTCCTTGGGCCCCTGAACCCACGTGGGAGACCTGGAAGAAGCTCCTGGCTCCTGGCTTCAGATCAGCACAGGTCCCATCGTTGCAGCCAATTGGGGAGTGAACCATTGGATGGAAGATCTCTCTCTCTCTCTCTCTCTCTCTCTCTCTGCCTCTCCTCTCTCTGTGTATCTCTGACTTTCAAGTAAATAAATAAATCTTAAAAAAAAAAAAAATCCATGAGAGGAAACAGTGGCCTAACAATAATAGCGACCCAGGCTTGGGGGAGATGATACACAGCTTCAAAAGAATGAATGAAGTTTACAACAGAAAATCATAGTTTTGTAGATTGTATAGTTTTGTAGCCGCAAATGTCTATTTGCCCTAGAATGGATGCGTAAATGATGGTAAACAGATGCTGCATGTTTACTTGGTGTAGGGTTAATCTGAAGAGATGTCATTTTACTTCATTGCTTCCATTTGCATTTTACTAATAACTAATAATGGTGAGCATTTTTCAAGGGCTTATTTGCTATCCTTATATTGTCCATATGGAATTGTCTTTTCCACGTGTTGCAGATGTCTATCTTATCATTGAGTTGCAATGTTTTTTATATGTTCTGGATATAATCATGTCCTTTGTAAACATTCTGCCTAGTCTGTGGCTTTCTATTTTCTTTTTCTTGGCAGATTTATATGGGTGGGGAAGTCAGGATTACCAGCAAAAACATCAGCAGGATGAGCAGGAATGAGCTTTGCATGCTCATAAGGTGGCAGAGAACAGCCTATGTATGGGGAAGGTGTGGTAGTGGGAAGAAAGTGGGTAAGGACGTGGGGTCAGAATGGAGGAGCATTGTAAGGAAGGCAGAGGTGTCCAGAATGGATACAGTAAGTAATGGGGCACCATGAAACATACTTGAGCATGAGAGTACATGACGAAAGTAAATGCTCTGCTTGGGGTGGCAAAGGAATGACAGCGAGGCCAGCTGAAAAGCTGTTGTAGAAATGCAGAGGTGTGAGTGTGAGAATGTGGGCTCTAGACAACAAGAAGTGAGTCATTAGCATGAATGGCTCTGTATTTTAAAGTAAGAAAAGAAAAGGTGTTCAGCATATTGAAACTGAGGGATGACCATAGGGAAGAGGCAGTAACTATAGAAAATGAGTGTTGAAGTGAGTTAAGGGGTCACTGAATTCTGTGAATTTTACTGTTAAGAAACTGTCATGAAAAGTCATATAGCAAGTTACCAAAAAAGTCATAGGTCCCCCAAATCAGTGGGCACAGAACTTGCTACATCCATTCCATTAACTAGACTTCAGAACTCAAAGATCTAAAGTGTCTGACCAGAAAAACTTCATGCACAATGACTTACTGGAAATGAGAATCCACTCCCCTTTCTTTCACTCTCTCTGTTCCTACGCACCCACCACCCTCTGCCTAACCTTAAGAAGAAAATTCAACAGTGAACATTTCTCTACATGCTTTTCTTCTCCACCCACATATTTTATTCTTCTTTGACCCGATAAACATAACATCAGCAGTTTTTGTGATGTAAACCCACATTCTCCTTATTGGGACAAATATCAGATTAGAACTACAGGTACATCTATCCATACAAATAGAGCTCAGATTATGATGTTGTAGAGGACAAAAGCAGTTGTATAATGATATTATTTTGTTTAAGTTTTAAAATCTATAAGACAATTCTTCACAGTAATTGTGGGTTCATGAATATGTAGTAAAAGTATAAAACCACTGAATTCATGAATATGATTAACTTTTTGGAAAGAGAGGAATATGATTGGTGGGCTTATTATTCTAACACATTATCTATTATTGGTATGTTCAAAATGCATTATGAATCTTTTAATAAAAGTGAAGCATCATTTACTATTGTCTGCATTCACTGCCTACTTTCATCTCCTATTATTATACTAATTATTCAAATTTATCAAAAAGGTTAAAAGGAAAATTACAAAACACAGTGATCGTTGTAAGCAAATGTTTCTCTTTCACATCTTCTGTTTAGGGATGTAAATCTGCAAGATTGGGCACAGGGGTTAAGATGGTGCTAGGAATGCCTGCATCCCACATTCAAGTGCCTGTGTTAGAGTCCTGGTTCCACTCTCAAGTCCAGCTTCCTGCTAATATGCACCCTGGGAGGCAGCAGGTGATGGCTCAAGTACTTGGCTCCCTGCCACGCAAGTGAGAGCCCTTGACTGAGTTCTCAGCTTTGGCCTTCAGCATGGCCTAGCCCTGGATGTTGTAGGCATTGGCAGATGGAAGCTACTGCTCTCATTCACTCTCTCTCTCTCTCTGTATCCCTCCCTCTCTCCCTCTAGTCTTTCTCCCTCCCTCCTTCTCTCTTCCTCTCTCCTCTCTCTCTTTCCTTCTCCCTTTCAAAAAAAAACTTTTAAAAATTTCAAAAATGTTTTGAAGATGAGAGAGAAGTGATGGAGGTGTTAGACAAATGAACTTTGACATGACTTTCTCTGTAACACAAAGTGAGCAATTCTTATTTATGAAATAATGGCAAGAAACTTAGAGTCAGGAGAGTCAGGATGGCAATTGACCAAAACCCACCAACTTACCACATGCCACTGGTTGACTGCTGTGGGCAAATGAGGAGCATCACCGGTAACAGCAGGCACAAGCCACATATGAGCAGCATGCCGGGGGTAGTCACAGCCAACATCCGTTACTGCATGCCCCCCACAGCAAGTCAGCTGGGCAGCCATCCAGTGGACAGTGCTATCAAGAGCCTTCTCTTTTCCTGCCTCCCTTAACCCTGAGGACTCACTCTTTGATCCTCACTGTTAACTCCCACGAAAACAGACACAAGGCAGAAGCAGCCAGAACAACATGAGCACAGACTTCTGCAGTGGAATCAGGAACCAAGGAGAAAGGATACAGGAGTGGTCTGTCTTAGCTAACAGTAAAGCAGCCCACGATTCCATGAGATGAATTACACAATTTAATCCCCACCCCCAGGTTCCATGTGATTGCTACTACCATTACGTCTACATCCAGGAAAACCCAGTTTCAAAGAAAGAATACACTTACTCAAGGTCACGTAACTATCAAGTCACTCTGAGACAGGAGAGAAACAGCACTTCACTCACAAAGTCAATGCCCTCCCTAGCCAACTCTTACCCTATCCACGTATCCATTTGCCTAGCTGTAACCACAAGCTACTCCACTCAACTCTCAGCCAATTGGGACGAGGAATATCTTAAACACCAATTGCAAAAGGCCTCTGTCAGCTCTTTTGGGGACTTTCCCAACCTGTACACTATACACATGCCCAGAATAGCCCAGTGCAGCTGATCCAAGACCTTCCTGGGAGGCAGTGGTGAGCACCACTGCCATTTTGAGCTTGTCACTCACAAGAGGAGAAACAGTGCCTGTGTAGAACTCCATACCCAGTGCAAAGCAAAGTGCATTGTGCCCAGAGGGATGAACCAGAGATGGAAAGGACAAGACCATACCTGCCCAAACCAATAAAGCCCCGTGTTCAGCCAGTGGAATATCTCTGCACCTTGCTGTCTTCCCCAGATACCTTGTCTAGGTTAAAGTTGGACAACCTGTCAATTTCTATTATGAGTGAGTCCAAGACCCTTGAGTCAATAACAGCTCCAGATGTCTCTCATACTTTGTTCCCATTCTCTAGGAAAATAGGGGCATCTAGAATAGGGATGTTTACATCAGCTGGCCTCTGTCCACATATTAACCTCCTTAGGGAAAGGTTCTCACAAGTAGGAGAACAGTATAGGGAGACAGGGTGCAAAGTATCAATAGAAGGGAATGGTGGAGGGGCCAGCGCTGCGGCATAGCAGATAAAGCCACCACCTGCAGTGCCAGCATCCCATATGGGCGCCGGTTCGAGAAGCAGCTGCTCCACTTCTGATCCAGCTCTCTGCTATGGCCCCAGAAAGCAGTGGAAGATGATCCAAGTGCTTGGCCCTTGCACCCATGTGGGAGACCCAAAAGAAGCTCCTGGCTCCTGGCTTTGGATCAGCACAGCTTTGGCCATTGCAGCCATCTGGAGAGTGAACCAGTGGATGGAAGACTCTCTCTGTCTCTCTCTCTCTCTGTCTCTCTCTCTCTCTCTCTAACTCTGCTTTGCAAATAAATAAATAAATAAATCCTTAAAAAAGAAGAAAGGAATGGTAGGCTGACTCTCAATAAAACAGCAAATGTCAATGGTAAAAAAAAAATAGGTGAAAGGTTTAAAACTCTGAATGACAGTATCATAAGAATTTTGAGGATGCTTTCTTCAGTACTTGTGTACTCGTGTCTGTTTTGAACTACAGAGCTCTGCTCTGCATGAACTTGATCTGCAGAACTCCATTCTACAGGAAACCTTTGGATATCAAATAGCAGCAGAGACTGAAAGTAGGGTTAGCGAGCAGGAGCAGAGCTCTGAAACACCTGAGACACTTCTATGTGGCAGTTTATGCCCTAACTTCCGTGGATGATCCAGTCAGTGGAGACCTAGAAACAGAATGTTATGTGTTAGGGTCATAGGAATGTAATTAACAACAACTAACATACATTGTGCTTAATTAACTGTGTGCTGGGCTGTTTTAAATGCTTCACATGTAGACTTAATTCCAATCACAACCCTATGAAGAAGTCATAATTCTTTTAAAAAATCTACAGATGAGGAAATAAAAACATAGAGCAGTTAAATAAATTGCTGGAGGGAAGTAAAAAAAAAAAAAATGAAACCCAGACACTCTGGCCTCAGAGACGAGAGATTAAATACATGGACAGCGGCCGAGGTGAAGGTAGACTGAGTCAGATCCAGAACTCAGTTTTCTGACTTCCAAGACCAGTGATCCTGCACACACCCAGCACATTCCCCATGTTATGACATCCCCTACAATGACAACCAGATTTAGGAGAAAGAATTGAAAAGTTTGTAATTCCCAGAAATCAAGAGAACCAGAATGTTTCATAGCTTGAAGTGGTGCCTTCTGTGCCAATAGTGCTGTGTGGAGTTTGCTTACGGTACTACATCCAGGGTTCCTTTGTCTGGGAGGCTCTCCCTGCTGCAGGAGCCAAGGTGCCTAAGCAGAGACTTGGAGCAGAGGAAGCAGAACATAGCTACTTCAGAACCTCCCAGGCCTTCTACAGACCCAAATCATGAGACTGTAAGGGAAAGTCAAAGTCACCTGTTAGAGAGAGAGAGCCCTCAGCGAGGGGCACTTCTTGGCTCGTCTCTCAGGAACCATGCTGATGCTCTGGGAAGTCACAGAAACCTTGCAAGGGCCAGGAACGATTCTTGGGAGTCATGTTTTCCTCCACCTCCTGAATGAGTTCTCCCCCAACACATCTTTTCCTTCCTTCCAACGTAACCACCGACTTTGATAAACACCCTGTTCTGCTCTGAAAAGAATCAAGGCACTTGCACCTGTGTAACCCACCATCCCGGTGTGCCTGGAGCTGCCAGGGTTGTCACACTGACTGCATCCTGAGAAGCCATGAGTTCCAGGCACACCAGGAATGTCGGTCATCCTGTGTCGGTCTTACATGACTTGACAACTTAGAGCAACGAAGCACAGTGACCTGAACCTGACATACCAAGAAAATTACACTAGAACAAGTAGGAGGCAGGAAATAGCCTGTTTTTCTCCACTAACAGCAACCCTGACCAAAATAGCGTTGAATAACTGAGGCCAAATTTATGACCACCCATGGGCCACAGAGGAACTCACTGCCTGAACTTTCTTCCTGTCCGAGGGAATCTTGGGAGGAAAGGAAGGAAGGGCTTAGTCACACGCCGGGAGTGGCAGCCAAGAGCAGCACTCGCTCCTCCTAGGCCAAGTGAGCTCAAAGTCTCTTTCTTCAGGAAAAGTAGATGCCTCCCGGCTTTTCTCCCTTTTTACAAAGCCAGAATGACAAACACTGACCTAAGGAGGGAGGAGAGGCAGCCAGAAGACACACCATCTCTCCACCTCTGGAAGAACAGTTTAGGGAACCCAGCAAGTCTCTGAGCCTCTGCTGGATCAACAACCTGGGCCAAGCCACAGGCCAGTCCTCTGCTCCCCCAACCCTCCTCTCACCCCCCGAAAAAACTCACCTGGGCCCCAAGACAGGCTGCGCTCCCCAGGGATGCAGAAGCAGCCACCCATGTGTGCACCATCCTCCCCAGGCCGAGGCCCCTGGGAACACCAGCCAGAAGAGCGCTGGGAGGGAACCAGCTCCCCACGGTGTCCCTCCTCCCGCCTCCTCCCTGGCACACGAAGGACCAAGGCTGTTCCACGACTTACAATGCAGCCTTTGATATCCCAGCTGCAGCAGGAGGCCAAGGGAGGGTGGGAGGGGCCGCCCAGCCTGTAGGCCTGATAGTCCTTGCACTGTCAGGCCTCTGCCTGGGGAGCACACTCCCTCTGCCTCTCTGCAGACTGCTTCATGCCTATCAGGCTGTGGCACATTCCTAGCATTCTAGGACTCAGATACACAGCCTGGTTCTTGTGGGGTGCCCAGGGTGGAGGAGGAGGACAGAAAGCATCCAGGAATCAAGGCTTCTGCCCTTGCTCCCTCCCTGACTGCCTTGGCCCACACACCCTTGCCCACCACGCTTAGAAAGTGAGCCCCACCCAGCCCTCTCTGCAAAGCCTCCCTTGTGTGACCAAGTGAGAGCTGTGGGCAGTGTCTCACCTCAACCCCAGCAGCCTCAAGGAGCCAACTCCTCGCTGACGATGACCCGCAAAGCCCTAGCTACCGTTCCCAAAGACTTGGTGGAAAGGAACCCAGGAAGTCATCTGATGTAGCCCAGAACTTTCCAGATGAGAAGTTGGAGGACCAAATATATTTAAGTTACAGGTAAGCATGAAAAACTGGTCCCACCAAACTAACCTTTATTCTATGTCAAATAGGCAGCAAAGCAGGGGAATGCAGTTGACACAGTGTGTCTGAATTTCAGAAAAACCTCCCATGAAATAGCACAAAGGAGATGGGGAAAAGGTGGCTGAATATCTCAGAGGCTGGGCAGAGCATGACTGCCCCAGTGAGTAAGCTCCAGGATCACGATCCCCCAGCGTGTCCCTCATGCCTTACAGCAAAGGTCCGAGGCAAGCTGTCCAACAACAAAGAGGTGAAGGCCAAGGGGAGGTGGGTCCCGACAGGCCTGTGTTGCAGACAAATTGAAGGCCAAACTTGATGTTAGTTTCACAAGCATTTTAAGGAGAGTAATGGCCTGACCAAGTTTATATTCTGGGAGGAGCATTGAGGCAGCAATGTGAAGGAAGGATTTGGGGTCAGTCTCACAGGAGGGGTCAGGAGTGGGCACAGCAAGCTCCGGCTCAGGCCCAGGGAACAGGCCTTAGATGGGTCTCTGAGGTCCAGTTTCAGTTCCGGTGCTGAATCACCGTGAACAAGATGCAGTGACTGAGTGCTTCTATGAGCCAGGTACTTATCATGCATCACTTGAATCCCATAACAGCCCATGAGCTAGGCGCTGCTACTTCTATTTTGCAAATGAGGAAATGGAAGAAGAGGGCCACATAACTTACCCAAGCTCTCCCTCACCCTCCATTTATGAATGTCAGGTACAGGACTTGATCCATATCTAGGTGATCCCATAACCCAGGAGTATCTCATTCCTGAAATATGGGTGTCTTCAACAACTACCAGGACGCACCACGAGAAGGAACAGGTGATCTAACACTGAGACCTCTGGAGCCAGCTGACCATTTGTGTGAGGCTGTAGGGATCCAGCTTGACACGGCACAGCCATCTCAGTTCTAACAGCTGTCTTGCCTTTCAGGTGATCCTGTCAGTCATCCCAAACCCTGTGTGATAGGGAAGTCATTCAGATAACCTGCTGCTCCTACTTGACACCTGAAACATCTCTTTATTTGATGTCTTGAATATCTCTTATGAAGATTAATATTTCTTGAGAAATCCTAGGTGCATTCCAGTTAGCCACAGGGCAATCACCTTTGCCTGTAAAACCCCTATTCTCCTACTCTGTAGCACAGGGATCCATTACTCTTGCAGCTGCCCAACACTATGCTTCTGTCTATAAATTTTTCATGATTTATGCCCTAATGAATTAATCTTGGTCTTTTCCACCTTCTGCTTTTGGGGACCAGTTCTTATACATCAGGTTTTTCTGAAACAAAGGCCCAGGAGAAGAGGACTGGGAGGATGGGCAGAGGAGGCACAGGGTCTCTGATCACACTGCCCCCACAGAGGATGTTTTCTCTGTACACATCTATTTAAAGTATCCACTTCCTATAATGTGTCACTTGCCCTTCCTTCACCAAAGAACAGTGTTTTAAGTATGAATTAGTATGCTTTCTTGGGCCCAAGATGAAAGAGCAAGAGTTCCTTCTGAAAACAGCCACTCAGAACTTGTGCAGGTACGTGCGAATCTGACAGTGACAATAAGCAATGGTCTAACTTACACAGGCTAAAGGATACTCAGACGTCCCACTTCTCCTTGACTTGTTTGTACACCAGTCTTATACAGGTGAATCTATAATCAGAAACTACACAATTGAGGCCAACCACTGGGAGGATCCTCAGGCCAATGTCATGGATGGCACCCAAAGGCAGTAGGTTGAGACATATATCTCGGTAAGTCTGAAATGAATAGTCCATTCTGGATGAACTCACTGCATTCTTTGAGATTCAAGAAATCAGCACTATTCTGCTGGAAGTTCAGATGAATTTATCACAACAAAGAGATTTCCAAGCAGAGAGCAGCAGGAACAAAGGCCCTGGGGCATGAACTTTCTTGGTTTGTTGAAGAAAAGCATGTGTGGCTGGAGTGTAGCAAAGTAGGGGAGGGTATACAGTTGAGGTCAGAGAAAAGTGCAGAAGGCTACATTGCGCAAGACACTGAAGGCTATCTAAGGACTTGGGCACTCTCTGAATGAGATGGAAGACACTAAATAGAGGAATAACATGATGGACTTACAACCTCTAAACTGTCACCCTGGCTGTTCCATGGAAAACAGGCCATAGATGGTGGTATTCCAGGTCTGAAGAAATTGTAACCT